ACAAGTTTCGAGGCAGGTCTCATTTTCGTTCCATGACGTTCAAGCTTATCTTTAATCAACTTGAGAAAGTCCTGTCCATTAACCTTATTCATTGCAAATAATTCTTTCGTTATCCTAAGTCCTGTCAAGTGAAAAAAAGCGTTTATGCGTGAAATTTTATTTTGCGATAAATACTATTTCTTTGGACCCTTCTCACGAATAACGAAAAGGTGCTCTAACATCTTATTATAAATTATACCTTTTGCTTTCTTTTCGTCAATTGCGTCATCACTTAACCAAAAAATAAACATTTTTTTTACAATTTTTACAATGAACAAAATAAAAAACTTTCCGAGCATTGTTTTACAAATCGTGATAAACCCAAGTCCGTATTGGTTAATAATCTACAAATTTGTAAATGTGGCTGAATTTAATTTAGAAAATTAAACCTACCTATTTTTACGATATACACAAACATTTAAACAACGAAAATGTTTAAAAGACTTTAATAAACTAAATTTACAATGTTTTATTAATTGCATTATGAATTTCTCGCTACATACTTTTTAAACTTTTTTAACTATAAAAATTATTTGACGTCCAAATTTGGTTGTCGCAAAAAAAAAAAAAAACAAAAAAAAAAAAAGAAAAAAAAAGGAAAAAAAAGAAAAAATCCACATCGTAAAACAAAGTCTGTAAAAGGAAAGTAAAGGAAAATCCACAAAAAAAAAATCCCTATATATCTGTAAAAGGGTTGATAGGAAAATTGATTGAAATAAAAAAAAAAAAAAAAAAAAAAAAAAAAAAAAAGGAAAAAATAATGTCGTTAAATTAATACGTACTGATTAAATTTTAAAATTTTTTTTTTTTCTTTTTTTAGAAAATTGATTTAACAAAGGGAGTTGTAAAAGGTTCCGGATTATCATCAATCGTAAATAGATTCCTTGCTTCTTCCAACAATTGGGGTGAAGGATAGAGTATAGAACATAGATTCCCATCATTTGAATATCTAAATATCTTTAAGGAAGTTCTTTGTCTTGCATAATCCATGACAATTCTTAAAATAGTCTCGTTTAGGTTTGCTTTTATGTAAAGCTCATTGAGATCACACTTCCCTTCTTGTAATAAAACTTTCAACATTTCCTCTGATATAAATGCATCGATCTCCAAAATTTTTAAAGTAGGGGAGAATGATCTTGCTAATTCCATGATATTATCAACTTTAAGATTATTGTATGCGAAACAACCCAACTTCAAGTGTTTAAGATGTCGCAAGTTCCTAAGGAAATAAATGATGCCCCTTTCATTAACTATTTTGATAAAGAGATGAGTTAGATTCGTACAAAATGGTTGAATTAATTGTGTAATATTATTGAATTCATTAAAAGATGAATAATAGTATTGTTGTTTATTAAAGAAAAGGGTTTTGAGATTATTATTTGACGTTGAAACAATTTTCTCAAAGAGTTTAAAGACGAGAAAATAATTTGAAGGTATTGTCATATAAAGATTATTCAAATTAGATGTGATGGGTTTGTCAAAGATTGAATTATCTTCTTTATTATCATAAAACGTGAAAGAAATAAGTTCCATCGTTTTCAAATTTGGACAATTATTTAAAATGTTGAGAACTATTGAACAATTGAATATTTCATATAATCTTAAATAAGTTAAAGAGTGAGAATGTCCTTTAAATAAATTGACGAAATCATTATGCCTCCAAAAGCAAGGAATTTCCAATGATTTTAAATTTTTCAAAGAAATGATAAAATTGTTCAAAATTTCAATGAATCGATCATACTCTATGCTGATGTTTAACTTTCGTAATTTGTTTTTTCTCTGACGTAGGTAGGGTGATAAACACGCAAAGTAAAATGAAACGTGTTGAATATTCTTGTTGTGTTGTGAAATAATATTTGTAAGCTTTTCCGCGTTCCTCTTAATAAATGTGAAAAGTTCCGTCTTTTTATGAATATCTAAACGAAATCCAAAAGAAAACTTGTCGATATTCGAAAGAACTCTCTCAAGAACTTCCCCATATGAGCTCATGTCCAATTGATTCTTCTCCAATCCCAGAGAATCCCTCAAACTAACATTCATATACTTGAAATTACTTTGATCGTTGAAAAATAACTTTCCAATAAAAGGGTTTAGGATACGAATAATACTATTAATACGATTCTCGGTTGGTGAGACTGAATAATATTGACGGAGGAAAACTCTCATCGATTCTTGTAACGATAACAATTCAAACTCTTGAAGAAAACTTGGATAATTGATGAAAGGTCTTGGAAAGTCTGAAACAGACTTGTGAAGAAATGTTGTGATTTGATTTTTCTCTTGTTCATCAAGGCAAGAAAAATAAGTTCGAATTATAATACCTCTCTTCTCTTTATCTTGAATAAATTTAAAAGGGTTACTCCATAATATTGGAATCGTAACTTGACAGAAAGTTTGATTGATAGTGACACATGATTGTAAGGTTTTCACATCATGAATGAGGTATTGAATGATTTCATATATACAGTCAGCTGGTAGTGGCACGGAAATGTTTTTTTGATCAACGTTAACTTCAGACATCGTCTTTTTTTTTTTTTGAGAAAAGAATTTTTTTTTTTTTTTTTTTCAAAAAAAAAAAAATTTTTGTAACCGTATTTATGGCGCAATGAACATTACACAACTTTCATAAAAAAAGGGAAAATCAACTTGAAAATTATCAGGAAAAACTGACATGACTTTGATCAACAAATGTTGCACAAACATATAAAATTGGCATTTATCAATGGTCTTTTCGGAAAAGATGTCGATTGATGATTTGATTTATTTTTATTATTATTATTATTATTATTATTATTACAATTATTTAAGCTTAAACATTAAATACATTAAATTACTTTTTACAATTTAGCGGCAAGTAAATATTCGCTAATCTGTTTTGAACAGACTTTTCTAAAATCCTGTTCAGTGATGCCTCTTGATTCAATAGCAGGATTATAACCAAATCTTCGCTTCCAACCTGTCTTATCATCGTTATTTTTACCTTGTAATTCAGCTTGTTTATAAACAGACACAACGACAGCACCACCAAGTCCAATATTATGCTGTAGCGCATATTTCAGATTTGGCACTTGCCTATTTGTACACCATCCTCTTAATTGCCAGACCTATCAAAAAGTTCCAATCAGATCAATTAATTATAAGATTATTGCTTTAAAAAACAGAAAATGAATATGTACGCAGCTTATATGCATACCAATTCAGCACACTGAGCTAATCCGGTTGCACCTAGAGGATGACCTTTAGAAATTAAACCGCCTGATGGATTTATCACATATTTGCCGCCATACGTAACATCATTCGAATCAACCAACTTGTGAGCTTGTCCAGGTTTACAAAGTCCAAGAGCGTCATAAGTAATCAACTAAAAAATAAAGACATTTATTTCTTCTGTGATGAATTCTTTTAAATATTTTTCTCTTTTTTTTTTCAGGTATGACTTACCTCATTAGAGCTAAAACAATCATGTAATTCGACAACCTGAATATCATCGGCAGTGATACCAGCTTGCTCATAAACTTGTTTGGCAGCTTTTCTAGTCATATCAGCCCCTGCTAATTCGATTGAGCTTCTCTTTTCCAACAAGTCAGGAGAATCAGTTGCCATAGCCTGAGCAACAATTTCAATTGCTTGACCTTGTAAATTATTTTCAATGACAAATTTTTCTGATGCTACTATAACAGCCGCTGATCCATCCGATGTAGGACAACATTGAAGTTTTGTAAGCGGACCAAAGATTTGAGGTGATGATTTTATTTGTTCTAATGTGTAAACATTTTGAAATTGAGCATACGGATTGTTTGCACTAAAAAATAGATTCTTGAATTTTTAGAAAAAAATAAAACTTTTTTTTTTTCTTGAGGGAAATAAATAATTTACCTATGACGATGATTTTTTTCACCAATCTTTGCCATGTGTTCTGCAGTTGCACCATAATTTTCACAATACTCTATGCCGGCATTTCCAAATATTTGGGCCGCAAAAGGTGAATTGGTTATTCCTCGAGTTTCCGATAGGAGCGATACCGTAGTATCTAAATCAATTAATAAAGTTTATAGATTTACTTTGAATTATAAACGGATTCAAAAGGATTAATAAGATTATATTTACCAAGTGGGTTGGTGCGATCCTTATAGTAATTTGCGATAGACCCTATAAATACATAATATAATTCACGAAAATATTTTGAAATGGTAAATTTTCAAAAAAAATTTATACATACCACTTGTCATCTTCTCGAAACCTAAGGCAAGAGCGCAATCAACGATTCCGAATTCAACAGCTTGACGAGCCAAGTACAATGCGGTTGATCCAGTTGAACAATTATTATTTACGTTACTTTTGAAAATATCATTGATTTTAGCCAAAGTAACTAAATGAGTTAGTCTGCTAAAAAAAAAAAAATAATAATTAAATTATATCTTACATAACGGGAATTTGAGTCATGCCAAGCTGATAAACAGCACGTTGTCCGCAAGTACTATCACCAAAGCAATACCCTACATACACTTGTTGAATTACATCATAAGTTTTTTCAATGTCCAAAAGTGCTTTGACAACGGCTTCACGAGCCATTACTATTAAGGAGAATATGTAAATTTTTATCCAAACGGGAAAATCAAAAGTTTTATTTATGGTTCTTACCGGGATAATCAACCTGACCGCGTGGCTTGATAAAATTGGTCATTCCAACACCAATTACATATGACTTTCTTTGAGAATCTGCCATTATTCTTTTTAACGGAGGGAAAATAAAAGAAAAATTTTTTAAAACAAAAATTGGCAATGAACCTTGATTTAGGTTGTCGATCGATCCAACTTTGATTTGTTTTTTGGGTAATACAAAACCTTTTGGGATTGCATAAAATGTGAAACTAAATAAGCGTTTTATGGTTATCTTTTTTTCCTCTTTCCATTAATTTTTTTTCACTATTATTATTATTATTATTATTTTTTAATCGAACATGCCACTTCTGGTATTAAACGAAGACGTTATTATTCAAATTATAAAACATCTTCAAGATGACAAACTTAATTTATACAATTGCCTTTTTATTTGCAGACAATGGTGTAGACTTACAATTCCTTTACTATGGAAACGACCTTTTAGCGAGATAAGTTTTAATAAAAGGAACAGATTACTTCGAACGTATATCACTTGTCTTAATGAGGAGGAAGCAAAAACCTTGATAGCTCACGATTTGAAGATTGACACAACGGTGAAACCTTTATTTCAATACGCGGAATTCTTGCAAGAATTTAATGATTATCAAATATTTCAGACGATAAAGAGTTGGAAAAAGGAACCGGAACTTGTACACTTAATTTTTAAACAAATGTGTTTAATGTTTATGCGTCATAGTAAAAATCTACGTACATTTAACATTAATTATAACTCGGATCTTCCAGATTCGAGGATTTTTACAAAAGTACAACCTGGTATAACCAATTTGAAAAGTTTACAATTTAAGTTGGGACATTTTCACCCCGCGAGGTATCCAAATTTTATCGATTTATTGAAGAGGTTACCAACGTTATGCTTTAAGATTGAAGAATTATATTTTAGTTTTGGAAAAGATATCGATACATCACTTTTAGTGAATATTATCAAAACGCAAAGGAATTTAAAAGTTTTCACAATAAATAAAGGGGGAAATTATTTTGGAAGAATCATTCCATATTTAGAATTATATCAAGCTAATTTTTTGAACACGATAACCTTTTCATTGATTGATTTCACGGGATTTTCATTGGAGGGATTGATGAGATGTCATAATTTAAAATCATTAACGATGAACTTTTGTAATGAACTTACGATAAATCATTGTCAAGAATTTTCCAATTCAACATTTCAAATTGAAGGGTTAAAATTATTAGATAACAAGTGGGAACCGAACATAACGATAACGTTAATACAGATCATTGGAGAGAATAGTGGAGAATCATTAAAGGATTTAATAATTGATGATTTTACGATCAGTACCATACAAGTTTTAACGGATAATTTTCATAACATTAATTACCTTTCTATGAACATAAATTTACCTGTAATACATTCACATTTATTTTATTGGGCGAGTAAAAAACATGAATTAAAACGATTGGAGGTTAGAACATCAAAATCAAAATTCACGAGTCTCAACGATCAATTATTGGAAATGTTTGGAGAATATTTACCCCCTTCATTAACCCATCTAACGTTAAATTTTAAGTTCACCTTGAAGGGTTTAGAAATTTTTTTTAAATCTTGTAAAGCACCTTTAAAAACGTTATGGATTGAAGAAACTCATATGAATGATATAGAATATCCAAGACTCATACAACAATATTCTACGAGATATCAAAATTTAAAGATTTATCCTATAGATAGAAGATGAGAATTTTTTTTAAAAAAAAAATAAAAATAAAAATAAAAATAATAAAAATAAATGAGATTTTTGTGTTTCAATATCATTGGAAAACCTAGAAACTAGGTAAATGACCAAAATTTACATGACATGCAGGTGGGCGGTCTCCATTCATTTTTCGTACGGCGAAACAAAAACTTTGTAGAACGTAACCGAGGATCGACGAGGATTCTAACCAAAATTCGAGCTGAAAACCGGTTCTTGATCTTTTTGTGCCATCCAATGGACCCGCCATCATCTGGTTACATTCATAATGTTGAGAATTCGGAATTCAATCACCGAAAGTGTCCACAACCTAAAACCACAAAGAAACTAATTATGACAAATGATTCCTTATTTGGGAGACTGGACAATGAAACTTAAACAAAAAAGAAAAAGAAGAAAAGAAGAAAAAAAAAAGGAGAGAGAAAAATTTTTTTTTTTTTTTTTTTTTGTGAATTTGATGAATTGATGATAAATTATATATATATTATTCTTTGAAATCTTTTTTTTTTTTTTTTCAGCGCAGTTAGCGAGATATCCCTCGCATCTAGAATTTGTTGTACAAACAAACAAGTGCAGTTTGTGACATACCGATAATCTCTCATAAAAAGTTAAAGATTCACCAGTCATACTTTGTTACATTTGTTAAAACAATATTCATTTTAAATTAGCTAAATAATAATAGCTTATTAACTACATTTGGAAGGATAATGCTAAATTATTTCAGGTATTGTTACTGGTTTGTCATCTGACCTCGAATTTAACCTATTAAGGTTTCTATTAAAAATATTAATTTAGTTAAAATGATATATACAAACAGTTCTTTTTTGTTTAAAAATAAATAATAATAAAAAAAAACAATATCACTCAAATAAAAAAAAGGGTTGGACAAAAAAGTTTCTAGAATTATTTTTTTTTTTTTAAAGAAATAATTAAAAAAAAATTTTTGGAATACAAATACAAAGTTTTGATACAAATAATGCTACATGTGACCGCTAATAATGGGAGATCAGATGTATCTAGATTTGATTCATATGTCCTAAATTTTACATTAATGATCCAGATAGTTTGTTGATAATCGAAGGGAAAAACGCGTAACGTTAATGGGGATGGTCATAAGATACGCGAAGTCGAGCGAATAAGATTATATATTATATACATACATTAATTATATTTTATACATTTAATAAAAATACATCCTACAATTTTAACAATCTAAGTTACACCGAATAAATCATTAACATCAGACGGGAGAGATCGTATCCGAAGAATTATGATTATGGCTGTTTAATGGATCAGTTGAATGAGTAGGACTTGGCGGAGTCACCGCGTTAGTACTCGTTAGATACCGACTTTCATCATCACACTCATAAATCGTCGGGTTTTCCATATAACTTATTCGCATCGGCTGTGTGGCTGTAATTGAAATGATTGACATGGGATCCATGTCGGTGGTGATTCTGCCGGAATTTGAGTTAAAAAAGAACGAACTCCGCGTATTTGTAAAGTAGGTAGTCGTTGGTGATGCGACCGTGTTGGTGAATCGACGAATTTTGGGTACCATGGCCATCACAGGTTTTACGGATACAAGGTTACGAGTTATACCATAAATGATCGCATTTGCTAATCCTGCGCTCGTAAAGATACTTCCAGCAGCAATTAAACTAACATGTAGGAAGAAAATTCATTAGATCAATTCATTCTCCATTTTTTTTTTTTTTTTGAAAAGAAGGGAACGCTTACTATTTAGAAGACCAAATAAGTGTATTTTGAGAAGCAAGACCAACGATACGTTCTGTAAGAAGATTGGCACGCGGAGTTAGATAAATAATTAAGTCGTGTTGCCAAAAGATCGAAAATAAGGATAACTTACGTAGGGCTAACGGAAATATGAGAACGATATAGACGGCGGGATACCATACAAGCTTCTTATTCACATTCTGTAAAACCCTCCTTGATCCTCTCGTTGACATTGTTCGTTGACGTCTGTACAATATCACAAACATAACGGCATAAAGGGTGATCATGGCCGCGGCGATGAATAAGATGATTCCGTAATGAAAACCAATTCGATATTCTTGAAAACCACTATCAATCCAACACCAACTACCGCCCGCGCTACCATAAAACCTTTTACCATCGGAGGCATTTTGAATAGCGAAACCTAAAGCCGATATTAAGATATTGAACGGCCATATGGTTATCATGGATAGAAATACTATATGTGGATATTCATAAGAATGGACCACGAGCATATAAGTGTGCACGCATATTATGAATGCCCAAAATCCCGACGCAACGTCTCCTAAATTGATGAGGAATCCTTGTATATCGCAATAAATTCCTTGTTTTATTACCCCTTTAATGGCCCAATTGTAGCTTAACATGAATCCGATTGACTGTATAAAATCGGATAAAAATAAATTCAGCACTAATCTTGTAACCACGGTGTGTCTTGTAGAATGATTTTGGCTTATTATACAAAAAAACATCACGACAACTGCTATATTACTAATCGTGCTGGTCGCTAATATCGCTATCGTTCCTTTAGCATTAAATTCGACCGTTGTCCCATTCACAATAATTTCATTTACATCTTCCATATTATTTATTAACTATATTATTTTTTTTTTATATTAATTAATTTTTTTTTTTAAAAAAAAAAAAAAAATTTCTTCCACTTTTTTTTTTTTTTTTTTTTTTTTTTTTTTTTTTTTTTTTTAAAAAAAAAAAATTTCATCATTTTATGCGAGTATTCTAATTATTCTTTTGATGATCTTTATATTATTTGAAACAGAGCGTTATTAGAAAAATAAAACCGTTGCTTTTTTAATTGAACTTATTTTTTTTTGCGATTAATGAATATTCGAAAGATAAAAGATTTAATGGGCACCATATTTCCATCCAAAAATGAAAGATTCAGGGTTCGTGGTTCATGGTTTTTACGTCGAATTTAACTGTTTCATCCAGACATTCAACATCAGGTTTTCATGGGAGAAAAAAAATAGTCACCTACTAAATAAGTCGAGTACATATTACGAGAGAATGAAGCTGAAGAAGCAATTATCACCTTTATCTAATAAAGATTCTTTATTTTATAAATTATTTGATTTTTTAATTAATTTACACGATATAAATAAAAATTACCAATGAAAAGGGAAAATCTTAAATTTAGGTTTTTAATTAATTTATTTTAACACCAATAAACATTAACGGCATGAATTATGAAACTTTAATTGAATTTTTCCTAAAAATTAACGAAGGATCTAAATTAAAGTGAAATGACGCTTTGTGATCCAAAAAAAAACGAATTCCCAAAAAGTCATGCTGCTCAGTCTTGTCTAAATATAGTAATCTTAATTTATTTATTTATTTTTTTTTTAAATAAACAAGTTAATTCGTGTAACATTTATAACATTCTGTCAAAATGAATGCCGCAGAACGTCAATGTAGACAAGGAGGGGAATAGGTCAATGAAGAGCAGGCATCAATTCAAAAAAAAAATCTCAATGGCAATAAGTTAAAGCAACTGGTTAAGATCAATCTGTTAACATGCACGAAAATTTTCTCTTAAAAATTTTCTCGTAACAATCAATCTTCATCAGGCATTGCAGACATTAAATAGAGGCTGGAACCGGTTTTATTTTCACAAACTTGTTTTAAACACTTTTTTAAATTTGAGACCCGGATTTAAATAAAACCGATTAAATCGAGCATTCGGTTGTAATAACCCGAAAAACCGAATTACGATAAGTTTTATAATGTTAACAAAATATTTTTTTTCTTTGATTTTTATTAATTTTATTGAAGGAATAAATATTAAGTATGTTTAAAACGATAGATAAAAAATTAAAATAAAACATGATTCACCAAATCCGGAGATAATTGAATACGTCTTGCTGAAATATATATAATTACTTGCGTCTGAAAACAATGTTTCGCTAGATACAGAAGTTGCAGGAATAGATAGATATTTTCTATAAAGTTGAGGTATGAAAAATTAATTAGAATCGCATATATATATATATATATATATAATCTAACGGAAGAATACTGTCAAAAAATGTACAAATTCAAAATTTTAATTTTCATTACATAGAATTTTTTTTTAATAAAAAAAAAAAAATTGTAAATTTATTCATCGCAGGGGTGCGATACTTCTTAAACACTTTCCCTCACCCTAACCTAACTCGAATCCATGTGACACTAACCTAAGTGACAAATAGGGTTTCACATTTTGAATATATATGAAAAAATGAAAAAGGGAGGGGGTGTGACACAGGTGACAAAAGGGAAGCGATGATATCATATCGTACACGCGATGAATATTATTTCAAAAAAAAAAATTTAAATCATAATTTTGGTCAAAATAGTTATATATTCGGTAAACTTCCGGTTTTATTAAATTCGATATTTCGGTTTTATTAAACCCGGTTTTCGAAAAATTTATGTTATGTTGCATTGAATTATACCAACGGTTCCAACCTATAATTTGTATGATTGGTCAATTTTTATGTCAGATTATTTCCTAATTATTAATAATATACTCAATTTTTGATTGGTCTAATTTTTTATTAAATTTAATATATATAAATATTAAAATAATAATATCGCTTGATAGTAATATATATTTATTAATTAATTTTTCATAAATATTTCAAATGTTATTTTAAATTGTTTTGCAGCTTGAGAGTTAAATAACATTTGCTTTGATAATTCTTTAGGTTCATCATTTTTTACTAACTAAATTTTATTATCTTAATCAATTTCAATTTTGAAATTTTCTTTAGTGATTCTACAAATAATATTTACATTATTATTAATTTTAATTTAATAGTTTCTTAACAATACAAAACACTTATACTTAAAATATTGTAATAATTTTAATGATACAGTAGCAGTCATAAGTATCCGACCGCCTCTAACTCCGGCTACAAGTAAGTAAATTCAAAATTTTTTTTTTATTTAAAAAATACA